TGGTGAGGGGGGGTGGGTTATGGCTCAGTGAAGCCCAAGCGATCCCTGGAAACCAGCAGCGATTACTTTTCCTAGCAGTGTTGCATCACAGGCCTCGCCGATGCTTCCGGTCAGCTGTATGTGTCCTCATCTGGACTTGCAGGGCAAACCCTTTTCCTCCCCAACAAAAAACAAACAAACAAACTAAACAACTATTCCAAAACAGCATTTTTTTTTTGTGACGTGCATTATGAAGAAATAAGACTTTGGGACTTGCTCTTTCTTATAAGTAAGTCTCTTTATAACGCTTCAGTGCAACTAAGAAACAGACCTAGCAGTTTACTTTTTTCTGTAATAATGCTAATTGCTATCCACAAGATACGATTTAAGATTATGTCTGATTTTTGTTGACTTTGGATGCACAGCATCTGATTTTCATACAAAAATCACGCTGCCATTTAAAAAATAACATTACTGTAAAATAATATGTGGCTCTACTTTTCCTATGGGAGTTAAGACATTTGAAAAATAGGTCACTTGCTTTGAAAGCAGCACGCTGATGAAAGAGACTGTTAGTTATGTATGCCAATGGAACTGAAAATATCCACCAAAAACGGGCAAGGAACACGACTTATAGCGAAGCTGTAAAAACAGAGAGTCAGTAGAGGACCAGTTAGTGAAAATTTGAGCGCAAGGTTACTATTAAAAGTGACAATTGTGCTAATTCATACCGTGATGGATGAAACGGGTAACAACTGTCTACAACCAGCTTCAAAATGTGGTAGCTGCCATCCAAACCCACGATCACAAACCTAGCAAGTAACAGCAACTTTTGGTTCAAGGCTAATGAAAGCCATAGAGGTGTGTTATACTTACCAGTTTTGTCTTTACGTTTGAGGTAAAACGGTTACTGATGTCTCTCCTGCTGTATGGGCTTGCCGATTCCATATGGCAAAACCGCTTTAAGTCACAGATGAGGGTGCGAACAGTCACAGTGGAATTAGGAGGCAGGCAGGGCTGCCCACACTAATTCTTGCATGGACTTCCAAGTTACTCCCTTTGATCAAAATCAGAGCTTACTAACTAATGTTTAGAGCACAAAGCCAATAGTTGGAGATAAAATAAGGTTAAAGACATCAGTTTCATCTTTTCTCACCACGTGTGGAAAGCTGTCTTTTAAAATTATTGCTTTATAAAGCTGGAAAAATGACAAAGGTGGAGCTACATATCTTTACAAATTCTTTGATGACAACCTACTTCAGACCCTTTTCCTGGTACAGCACTTTTTTCTGTTTGAGAGACATTGCAGTACACATTAATATACCCTGCACACTTATCTTGCTACTTCTTACCTATAGCATCATGCTGAAATTAAAAGGGACCGGAGAACCCTAACACAGACAGAGCAAGTATATGAGTGTACACTAATATACATTTCGAGTTTGTATGTATGTCAGCCTCTTGCCTTCCTAAGTAATTTAATGAAACAGATTCACACTGGCCTTGCAAGTAAGGCTTAAGAGAGGGATTTCAACTGCACCACCCCATTAGTGGGTAGTCTATGAAGGCCTTCATTCATCACCCAAGAGTCCAAAAACATGAGGCATCTGCATTCACTAAATACATTTTTTTTAATCATTCAGTAGAATTAAAAGCTTGTGTAATCAGTGATGACTGCAAATCATCTTTAAAGATGCAAAACATCTCTAAAAGGCATTTAGCTTTTTTTTTTAATATACATTATTAAGTGTGGAATTAGAAGAACATAATATGACAGTCATAAAATAGTATGTGATAACACAAACAATTTCAGAATTCCTTTCAGGGGAAAAGGTATGACATTTACCAAAAAAATAGCTTAACATCAGCCAGAACTGACTTTTTGCTGGGGGTGCATGTGCGCAAACTGTAAGACCACCTTTTGAGATAACAAAGCTTTCACAGGTGTATGTGAAGTTAAGAGCTTTTCTGGACATGCGGCAAGACTAGGAGAAGAGTAATGGAGAAGACTTCTCTGAAAGATGCTTTGAAACATCAGGTGGGCACTTCAGATGCTCCAGAATAACAGAGCTTCACCGCAAAAAAGCACTGAAAGTAATCCAAGCATTGTGATGGTCTTTCATAAAACTGCTACCTAGGCAAAAACTACAGGCTGTTTTTTAATTCCTTTTTTACTGTAATTTATTATGGATTTTACCAAGAAATGATGTCGTAATTCCTAGTATAATTACTGAAAACAAATGACGATAGTTTGTGGCAAAGCCAGTTTATTAGGTTTCTGGGATTGTAACCCCTCCCCCCCCCCTTCACATATAAAATAGCCCAATTTTACAATTTGGTAAGGTGAAAATACATATACAAAGTATTCAGTACTTTTGACATCAATTTTGTGGGTAGAACATTACTACTGGGAGCCAGGAAGCATATCAGATTCCGAATTAATGACCACGTTATGTTTATGGGAGAACCATCAAGCATGCTTTGTGCTGAAGACAAGATTACATACTTAAACATTGTTTCCACACAATTTTAATGACACAAGGGCTCTTATTTACAAGTTGTGGATAATTCAAATAAAACTTAACAGATTTACAGATATTTGATGTCAAATTTAGCATTAATATTGTGTCTACATAATTTCCTTACCTCATCCCCCAACCTCACTGACTGACTTTGGAATTCTTCATTTCTGCTTTCTTATTTTAAAAAATAATAAAAAAGGATTAGAAAGTTTGCTGAAATATTTAATATTATACAAATACTTAAGATGGATCCTTTTGAAAATAAGGATTAAGGACATGAGTGAAAAACAAATTGTCCAAGAGGACTGTAAACCATGTTTATTTGTAATACTATACAAATAAATTTAAGATCTATTATTTTCTAAAAAAAAAAAATCATTAAGGACACTAGTGTTAAAAAGCTGATTGTTCATGAAAGGACTGTAAACCAAATTTTAGTAATTTAATGTTCAGAGTGGATGAAAAAAGTTCCCTTTTACAAATGTTGCATAAAGAAAATTACTGTTGCAGTTATAGCAGCTTTATATAGAAAAAAAAGTCTAGTGTTTTTTGTTCAGAAAATTTTAAATATCCTAATTATATCAGGCCAAATTGAATGCTCTTTCTAAATCTAGAGAAAAATCAATGCATTTTTCCTTGTATCAGTATAACTTGCAATAGAATGATATTGTACTAATTTTAATAGTTTAAATAGTATTAGTTGTTTTGTTTCAATAATAATTTCATTATTCTAATATAATCTCTAGGATGGCAGCTTCTGAATCTGCCCTTACATTTAGTTTCCAGTCAGCATCACACACTACAGATGATAAACCAAAAATCCCCATTTTTGTTTCAATTCCTTTGAAACTTAAGTCACAAAATACTGTTTCATCATGGCATATGAATGAAGCCACAGATCAAATTAAATTCTATGGCTTACATTTCCTTTTGTTTTATATAATTATGTGCAACCTAGCATCATTTTCATTACAAAAGTTGACCTTCAAACAACAGAACTGAAGTACAACAGTTGCAATTAAGAGAATCCAGAGGCAGATGAATCTAAAAAAGCAGTTTTTTTCTTCTGATTAAAAATACAAAAAAAAAAAAAAAACCCAAATCTTACACTGGTAATGCCAGGATGCTCAACTTAAATCCATAATATCATAGAAGCAGTTTTTAGCCCAAAATCTTTAATAGATGATCTGTCTGGACAGATTTTCTCCAAATTTCATAATTGATTTGATTTTTTTTATTCAAAAGTGTGTTAAAGAATTCTCACATTCCCTATTCTTTAAGTAGACGGTGCTGTTTCACCATTATGCAAGCAAACTGACCTTCAATTATGGAAGTCTGTAGTCAAGCTCCTTTGCATGGAACAGAAGCCTTCAAATCAGTTGTTCTGGCACAGAACAACACAGACTACTAATATATGGTGGCCTTCACGTTTTCTATGACTAAGGCACAACTTTGTATGTCACAATGGTCATCAGAAGTAACATTTTCTCCTAAGCATTTCCATCCTTAAAACGTAATCAAATTGATTTGTAAAAAGCTGTGTTTTTCAAGATATTTGAAAACATTCATCATGACTAACATTCTCTAAAAGCCTTACCTTTGAAAACCAGGATGTTCTTGCCGATGTCACTCAAATTTTAATTTAAGTATTTGTCCTTATGCTCAGATGCTCAGCTCAAATACAGCATCTTTAGAAGTAAGGCCTCACTGAACATGCAAGTTTTAGTTAGGTCAGAAGAACTGGGGACAGCTATAATCCCAACTTTTCCCAAGTCCTGTGCTACAGTACTTTCCATAAGAAGGAATGCATAGTTTAGTCTTACATGCTAATTGTGAAGAATTAATGAAGCTGTAAGTATCAAATAACTATCCAGAAATAGGGATAAGTTTTTCAACTCTCTTATCATTGCTGTGAAGAAATAGACAAGGTTTACAGTGGCTTGACAGGGCATTAAAGCCCACAGTATGCACTTATACTGACAGCCTAATCTTCGTCTGACAGCCCTGTTGTTGTTGCTGTTGTTGTTTTTTAATAAAAGGTACTTGCTTAGAAATTTGCTAGCACTCATCAAATACTTCTTCAGACTTCAAAACCACCCTAATCAGTGACCCCCCAAAAAAGTTATCCGTCTGTCCCAAAATACTTTTCCTCCAACATTATCCCAATGAAGTACCTATTGAAAACATTAGTCAACAGGCTTACTATTTATAACCTTACCACAAGTGACAAAAATGATCTCAGGCAGCAAGAGCTCAAGTAGAACTGCTTTGTCAAAACTTCACTTGAAAGTTTACTTTTCTGTATATCCATAGTGAAAAATCAGTAATTCAGAAAGTACATTACAAAGTGCAAGAAAATTAGATGGGCACATCTACACCAGAAAAAATACATTAAAGTGCCAAAGAGGTTTGCTATAACTGCTACCAAAACCTGGAACTTTGCCAAGATCATAACTTTGAAGCATATGCAAACAGACAAGGCGACAGTTGAATAAGTAGCATGATTTAACACCAGCAGGTCATGGCAGGTTTTGGTTCAGGCTTTATACGTATTTCATCGCGATCCGGGGGTTGACTAAGCATTAATGGCTTGTGACTTTTAAGCTTGTGAGCAAGTGTCATAAATATGGCCTCCACGTGGTCATTGTCATTTGGGTTTTTGGCAGAGGTTTCAAATAGTGGCATACTGTGAGTATCAGCAAACTTCTGGGCCAAGTCCGTAGGTACCTGAATAGCACTTCTCAGATCACACTTATTTCCAACAAGAATCCGTGGTATATCATTGGCAAGAAGGTGCTGTTTGCATTCCTCTATCCATGATGGCAGGCTGTGAAAACTGGCAATGTTTGTCATATCATACACAAACACAACGGCATGTACATTCCTGTAATAGTGCTGCACCATACTCTTTCTGAAGCGCTCCTGGCCTGCTGTATCCCATAGCTGAATCTGAAAAGGGAAAGACAACAAGAGAAAAAAGCAGAACTGCTTTTTTATTCATGATAGAAAATGATGTAAATCATCTGTAGCTAGGAACATCACAGTCACACAGATTCACTCCTCTGAATTAATCATACTGAAAAGTCTGTGCTGAAGAAAACTGTGGCTCTCCCATAAACAATTTCATAAAGTTTTGCTTTCTAAGCCACCTGCTCACAATTGAAGCTATGAAGAAATTATGATGCAACTTAATCACTAAAACAAATTTCTGAAAGTTTACTGGAGTAGATAATTTTTAAGATTTTACATAAACAAATATTGAAATCTGGCCAATACAGTTTTTATTTGAGGAGACAGCAACATGCATTTCTTAGCACTGCTCTTAGCTGACATGAATTTCTGTTGCCACAAATAACATTATCTTCCCCAAGGTTTTGTTCTTAGCATCAAGTTAACTGCCAGTTGTGGTAGACTCTGTAAGGGTAAGAAGAAATCAAAACACACATGAACAAAAAATAAAACAAAAAAAGGACAAAAATCTATATCTGCAGTATGTCTATTGGAATCAAACTCTCCTTTCTATGAACCGCTATCTTAAACTTCTTTAACGATTAAGCTAGGACAATACTGTGCTTTGTGGTACAAAAGTATGAGCGGCCATAGAAGAAATAAAAAAAACATAAGCCTTACATTAGTTTAAGGTAATATTGATCTTTCCAGGTATATATCGTTTTGTCCTAAATAAACTGAAATGTCAGTATTTGTTTTAAGCCTATGTAGTCAATAATAAAGCCATATAGTAAACAGACAAAAACAATGAAACAATCTGTAAAACTTTCAAACATCTCAGGTCCAGATGAAGCTACTTTGAAGCGCAAGCAGATGTAAAGACCAGAGTACTAACAAAAACGTTGTATGTATCAATCACACTGACAGAATGAAACCTTGGAGTTCTCAGATGTGTAGGGTATGCTACAAAATCATGCAGTTATTGAATATTTTAAGAAATTAGCTTTTCAGGAAGCGTGTGACTGCAATATTCAGTAGTCAGAGCCAATTCACCCACAATGCCAGATTAACTGTATACACTAACAAATAAATGAGCACATGGTTGTGCCATAGACACCTTAGCATGTTAACACTGAATGTTAACGTGTTTGATTTCTTATGTCAAAGCTGAATCCTAACTTCCTCTCTGTTCTGTACAGTTGATCCCTGACTGTTGAATCACTTTGATCAATACTTTGGCTTTTAACTTTTGAGCAGGAACTCTTAGAAAGAAATATTTCCTCCCTGGGAGAGAGAGGAGAGAGTTTTTCTTCAGACACAGAGTTAAAGAAGCATTAAATGTTTTGTAAATCATGAAGGTAAATTTAAAATTAAATCTATTCCACAATCTATTCTACAGCTAGTATTTTCTCTTGATGAAGACTTTTCTCCCACGACCACAGTTCTGCAGTCCTTTCATCCAAATGTTTCACTATATCTGATTTCTAAATTACCAGTGTCTTGATTAAGTTATCTTGTTTAGCATATTTACCAGTGACTTCGAGATAAAAGAAGAAACATGCGCAAGGGAAATTTGCCGATGGCAAGAAGCTAGGATACATCACTGACGGAGAGGACTAGAATATCATCTAATAGCTGCCACAGTAGAAAGAGGACAAAATTGAATAGGGCCAGATGCAGGGTGTTGAGAACTGGGATTAATTAAAAATACTTTTCCTGTAAGTGGGGGACTCATCAGTTTGAAATAAGTAAAGGATAGGGCAAAGGAAAAAAGCAAGTGATGCTTCAGGATGATGCGACTTTTTCATTAATAAAAATGTCCATCTTTGGTCACCCATACCCAAGAAAAATTCTAATTGTAATAGGTGGAATTGGCATTTGCTGTTTTGATCAAGGGAACAGAGAATTTACATGCAAACATTAGAATAGCTTGGACTATGTAGTCTATTCCAGCTGTTTGCAACTTCTGCTCTACAGACACACAAAGATCCAGGTACTGCTCTACGAAGGTCAATAAAACTACTGAGAAAAGTAAGACTATTTCCAATAATCTTAAAGATCTTTAAAACTGTCAATAGTCCTAAAAAATTTCCTGCAGAGCAGTCTACTCTTCTATTGAACACTTTTAGGGAAATGAGACAGGAGAGAGTACAAATTTAAAAAGTCAAAAAATTAGTGTAGCAAAACAGACAGGAGGAATTAGAACTCTCATCTCTCTGTATAGAGCTATTAAGCTGAAGGACGATGTTTGTGCTACAAAAAGAGATGTATCAACTAGCCACAACAGATGTACACGAGAAATTTAAAAAAGGTCCCTAATCATTGAATTGGTGAAGTTATGGAACAGCCTTCCAATTGAAATAGAGGGAGAAAAAATGGCTTTTGATGGAGCTTTGTCACTTACCAAAAGAATTATCTGGTAGCATGACCACCATATAAGCGGTCAATTGCTGGGGTTTATCCGAATGACTGGATGCTTACAAAGCAGTTTTGGTATCTGAGCAAGTCACCCTAGCCTCTGAAGAAAACTAGCCTCCGACGGAAGAAAATTAGTCTATTGCAATCCATCTCATTTTAGAGCAAATATCTGCTTTTTGCCAATTGTATTGTACTCTAAACACAATTGACTGCAGCTCCATGGTTTGTAAAGGGAGCCCAGATACCTAGCCTAAATATAGACACTTAAGTTTGGGCGAGATTCATTCACCTACCCAAGAGACGCACTTAGTTCTACGTGCTTATAAAACATCAGAAAGCCAAGAGACTTCTGGAGGACTTTCATTAATTTGGACTATAACAAATTAAAAAGAGAATAAAGCAGCATAGACAGGTAACCTTTATGCTCAGTCAGCATGTAACTAAGGAGTATATAATCTTGTGAAATGTTGTATCAAATCTAATTTAAAGAGGGAGGTCATGTGCATAGACAGCTGTAGTATCTGAGCACACGTTTCTCTCTCCAACTCACTCAGAGAGAGCAGAAATCAGTCAGGGTTCAGTCAAGTAGAGATCCACAAGGGTTATTGCCAAGTTTGGTCAGAAACTAGGAAATGAAATGAAAGCTTTACATAGCTTCCAAGTTAAACTTAAACTAGTTCCTCCTAAATTTTGTTTACATGTGGCTTTCAAATTTGACTATATTATCTCAAACTAAAAATTTTAGTATCACTAGCATGAAATCATAAACTGCATGGAGAGGGAAATCTTTCTCCAGCACTGAAAGTTTCATACTTTGGAAGTTTCTTTTCTCCTGTTACCAGACAAACTTCAGCAGACCATTCCATTTCTGGCCAAGAAATCTACCTGGCAAAAAAGATTATTTGCCCTATTGAAAAACTAACATTGACAATGATCACTTTAATACATGTGCACTGATGAATTAACATGAAGATCACTGCTTACCTATTGTTCAAACACCATCCATCACAGGAGCACATTTTTATTTCAAATGTGATACAGACAACAGTCCTTTAAAACGTGCATTTTAAAAGTCTGGCTTAACAGTATATTCAGCTAATAAAACTGAGGACAGAATCAGTCATCACATTTCCTAGGAAAGATAAACAGTATTTAAATACATCAACTATCACCTCCCACCTTCTGATTCCTTCTTGTGCATCTAGAAAGGCTGTTTTCTAAACAAGGACTCCCTCAGAACGCATGGTTTATAACATGCTGCTAAAAACATAACTGGCCTTTAATAAAGGCCAAACGGTAAAGTATGCTTACTTTTATTAGATGCAAAAAAAAAAAAACCAAACAAACTTGAAGTGTTCCGAAGTGCAGAATATGCCGGTAGGACTTTCTCCTTTGTATTTCACTTGCAGCCTTTGCTCTTTTAATGTAGGTCAGAAAGGAATGACATCATCGTTTTCTTCGATTTTACATCAGTTTAGGAAGAGTAAAAGTTAGAACGTAAAACACTCATGTGTTGACAATTTCCATCTATTCATCACATCTAATCACTAGCGTTTCAGATGAGGCTGTTAGCCTACTGTACAAAGGAATACACTTGTCCCTATGTCTTAGAATTATAAAAATTCCTGTGTGGGAGACCCCCGTCGAGAAGAATTGTGTCTGTGTTAATGCCAATGACACAGCGTTTTTCCAGCTGCAAGGGAAATGCTCTGTATTGGAGCAGCACAAGAATGACCATCCAGCTGGCTGGGGGAAGGGATAAGAGAGAATGAGAAGACACTAATTAATGCTCTCTTGCAAAGCAAGAAGAAAATTCCTCTACTCAGGAGGCCCTTCAGGGCACAGCAAGAACAGCAGAAGATGAGTAATTCAGTTCATGACAACTTCTCTCTTTCCTCGTTCGACAGGCATTGCCAGAGAGATGCTACAAACAAGGTAAAGATGAGTGAGAGGAGGTGGCAAAAAAAAAAAAAAGTCGGTACATAGTGTGATGGCACGTAGCATCTCCCTAACAGCTAAAGCCCTGGCTATAATGTTAAGAAACTTTATTTCCTTTTAAAGTTGAAACAGAACTTCCTGCAACATAAGGTGTGCAAAAGAGTCTCCTTCAGTTCTCCATCTCTCTCACCAAACCCAGCATATTCAACAGGTAACATTCTCTAGAACACAGCAAAACCTACTACCTACCACAGCACACATAACATAATGGCACCTATGTGAAGCATCTCAGAACTGTGGACCAGGCTAGATTCTTCTTAACTTTTTTTTTTTTTAGCAAAGGGCAGGCATAATCCGGAGACAGTGGAAAAGCCAGTCAATAAGATGGTACTGACAAGCAGATGATCCTCGTGAGGTTCTCTCTGCAGTTATGGATAGCAACAGACCTGAGAGTACAGAATCTCAGCTACCAGGCAAAGTGCTACTGGTTTTAGAAAGGGAATGAATAAACAGAAAGACTCTTACTAGTTTTCCTTTTTAGTTATGAAGAAGGATAGGGGGTGAAAAAAATCCAAAAGAAAGGCAAAAAGACTCTGAAGTCTTCCACAACTTCTTTAATCACTAAATAAGCAAGGGTAGATTACAACTTTCAGCTATATGACTGTCAGCTGTAATTTCAA